TACAGATGTGTCAGTGAGTACAGATGTGTCAGTGAGTACAGATGTGTTTTTAGGAGAGATTTAAAAATAGAGACTGAGGTGGCCTGTCGAATGTTGATGAGCAGATTGTTCCAGAGTTTAGGGCCCATGACTGAAAACGCCCGATCTCCTCTGAGCTTCAGCTGGTTTTTGGTACGACCAGAAGCAGCTGGTCTGATGATCTCAAGACCTGAGAAGGAGCATAAGGATGAAGAAGGTCGGAGAGGTATGATGGTGCAAGGCCATTAACACACTCACACAGAGACATGTAGGAGGTTTAGCCAGCCGAAGTTCAAGAAAGAGCCTCTGACATTTTTGTCAAATCTATAATGCGAGTTCATCAAAGTTGACTCGCTGTGGCAACGCTTGAAGACAGAAAGGCTGAAAGAAGACGACGAGAAGTAGTTTGTTATTCTGCTGTTTCCATGGAGATGAACACTTTGGTCAGAAAAACAGAAAAAGCTTCAGTCAAAAATCAGTCTGCTGCTCTCTGATTGGTCGTTGAGATTTCACCCTTTGTGATGTCATCAGCACGGTCGCCAAACGTCCCTCGGGCTCTGAGGTCTCTAGTTCTGTCCCTCCTGAATTCCCAGCATTCCTCAGGCCTGCGAGGGCATGCCGAGTGGCAGGAAGCTGCAGAAGACTGTGTGTGTGTGCGTGCATGTGTGTGCATTACCGTGTAACAAACTGTGTCTAGAGGACATAGTTGTTCATATGAGGCCTTCTGGTTCCCCTGCAGATTCCATCCCACCTCGTTTGTTTAAGGAAGTATTTGCTAATATTGGACCAAGTGTACTCAAGATTAATAATAATCTTTTCTCTGGTTTAGTACCTGGGGCTTTTAAACATGCATTTGTTTTCATTCAACCTTTATTTCTACAGGTAAATCTCAATTTCCCCAAAACTCGGATCAATCAGGTACCAATGCGAGTGAAGGCCAGGGAGGACAGATGTGTTTTCAGTCTGGACTTAAACTGATCTAGTGACAAAGATCTTCACAGACAGAGGGAGGCTGTTTCACTGTCTGGGTGCTGCCACAGAGAAGGTTCTGTCTCCTCTAGTCTTCAGCCTCGCTTTAGGGACAGCCAACAAGAGCTGGTCGGCCGACCTCAAGGCTCTGGATGGAGCTGCAGCAGCTCGCTTAGGTAACACGGGCCCATGGAGTTTAAACACTTAAAAAAACAATGAATAAAACTTTAAATTTCACCCGAAAAGCAGCAGGGAGCCAGTGAAGGGAATGTAAAACGGGGGTAATAGATTCACGCCTCTTTTTGTTCGTCACCAGACGGGCTGCAGCGTTTTGGACGCTCTGCAATTGCTGCAGGGAGCCCTGGTCCAACTCGAAATACAAAGAATTACAATAATCTAAACACGATGTAATAAATGCGCGGCTAGCCCTCTCTGGATCAGGCCAAGGAACATGAGGTTTTATCTTTGCAAGTGTCCTTAGCTGGAAGAAACTGGCTTTGATAACGGCACTAACATGCTTATCAAATTTAAACAGAGGATCAACCATCACACCCAGAGTTTGTACAAACGGACGACAGAAGGAGGACAAAGGACCAGCCACACTGTCCTGCCCAAGCAGGGGGGTGCATTGACCGAACAAAATATTAGAGAAGCTTGTCTACATACAGGTGATACCATTTTTAGAGGACAACGGTATCACTGAGCCGTTTCAGTCTGGGTTCATAGCCTGCCACAGTACAGAGAGTGCACTTTTGAGGGTTTCAAATGATATATTCTTGTCAACAGATTCTGGTATTGTTTTAGTCCTCTTAGATTTGTCTGCTGCATTTGACACTGTTGATCACAGCATCTCTCGTCTTGAGCACTGTGTGGGCATCAGGGGTGTCACTCTCAATTGGTTTCGGTCGTATTTAACCAATAGGAGCTTCTGCATAAAAATTGACAAGTTTGTGTCTTCTACAGCTCCTCTTCCATTCTTTGGTGTCCCCCAGGGCTCAATCCTTGGCCCTCTTTTGTTTGCTCTTTACCTTCTCCCCTTCAGCTCTCTCTTTAGGAAACATGGCATTTCATTTCATTTATATGCTGAAGATTGCCAGATCTATTTTCCCATGACACAAAACAACACCGTTCAACAACTTACACACTGCCTTAATGATGTTAAGACATGGTTTTCTCTTAACTTCCTTAGTCTAAATGAGAACAAGACTGAAGTTATGATGTTTGGACCAAGTTGCTGTCCCTCTCCCAGTATAGATCTTGGCTCACTGTCGTTTTATCTCAGGGACTGTGTCACCAATCTGGGGGTCAAGTTTGAGTCTGATTTTAAATTTGAAAAACAGATCAGCAGGGTTGTTCAGAAAAGTTTTTATCAACTCCGCCAAATAACAAAAGTGAAACCAATCTTAGCAAGACCTGACTTGGAGAAATTAATCCATGCTTTTATCACGGCTCGTCTTGATTGTAATGCTCTGTATCAATGAGACTAACCTGTATAAATAAAGGTTGCATGTGTGCAGACGTCTCCTGCCCGTCTGCAGCTTGTGCAGAACTCTGCTGCTCGCCTCTTAACTCAGGCCCG